AAGAGCACTGACTTTCTTCCGAAGGACCCAGGTTTAATTTTCAGCATCCACATGGCTGCAATCCCTGTCACAGTAGATCTGATGCCTCCACATGCAACAGGCACGCACATGGTGCACAAACATACATGTAGGCAAAACACCCACGCAGATGAAGATGGGAAAAAACCCACAAGATATTTATGGAGACGGGGAGGGCATTGCCAAAAGCTGGATGTGGTGGTTCATACTTTTTATCTCCGCACTCAGGAGACAGAGGCAGGGAGATCTCTGTGAGTTCAATGCCAGCCTGGTCTGGAGTTCCAGACATCCAGAGTTCCAGGACATCCAGAAAAACCCTATCTCAAATACATATGTACTAGTATATACATAGATACATTATATATATAAACATGTATATACCTACTGGAATATAATTAGCTATAAAGTGGAATGGAACATGGATATACCAATCTAAAATATGCTAAGTGAAAAAGACATATAAAAGACTATATACTGACCAGCTGTGACGGCGCACACCTGTAATTCCAGCACTCTGGGAGGCAGAGGCAGGCAGATTGATGTGAGTTTTAGGCCAGCCTGGTCTACAAAGTCCAGGAGAGCCAAGGCTACACAGGGAAACCCTCTCTTGGGAAAAAAAAAAAAAAAAAAGCCATATACTGTATTTCACTTGTATCAAATGTCTAAGCTGGTGTGCTGGTTGGTGCCTGTTCCACACTGGCGTGGCCTACTCAATGACTTCCCGAGTGAGGCTATCCTGCCCGTAACTAACCGGGTAAAACAAACACAAGCATCTAGAGTACAGGAATGCACGGAGACAGACGACAGATGTGTGACACAGCGCAAGAAGGAAGTGGGGGTGGGGTGCTAAAGGAGCTAGCCCTTGTTCTCTCTGGGTGACGAAAATATTCCAGAGTCCATTTCCTGTTTTGTTCTGAGATGGGTACGACCTGGACTTCCCTCTCACGGTACGGTACCTGCAGTGGCTAGGACAGGTGTCAGCTCAAAGGGTGAACTGTAGAGCCGCAAAGCATCCACCGAGGGGATGGAACTCAGTGAACACTGTGTCCCTGAAGCCTGAGGTCCCACTTCACGCCCATAGAGAAATGCTTTGTTTGCATCCTTAGCCCCTACAGACCCAGGTCCTGCCCTCCACTCATTGCTGAGCTTCAGACCATCTATCTGGCTGCACAGAGGTCGGTGAGTAGCCGGTCCCATCAAACACGGGGCAGAATGATTCCTCCAGCCTGGCTTGTAACTGCCTGCTCCCGAGCAGTGAGCCTGGCCTTGAGCAGGGCAGGTCTGACTGGGAGGAGACTCCGGGCGGGCTTCTCTAGGGTGACCTAAATCTTCCAGCTGGAGATCCAGAGGGATGAGGCCCTAGAGCTGGGAAAATGTCAAGGCTACTTCTAAACGGTGACTGAAGCTTTGCAGGCCCTGCAGTCTTAGTCCCCGTGGCACAGAAGCATCTGCCATTGCAAAACAGAGGACATTGCAAGCTGAACTCCTAGACTTTTACAGGGCTCTTGATTTCTCTCAATCACCTAAAAATGTATAATTCTACCCACTATACACACATTCCGTACAAAAAGAGAGAATATAGCTTTTGGATTCCTGCCTTGAGATGGGGTACCCTTCCTGCTGGTCTGTGTGTCAAGGACATATGGCCTTAAGTCAGCTGCTGAGGACTTCACAGCACTGGGGGGCTGGGGCGATTACTGGAGAGATTGTGGATAGAAGCTCTTGTTGCCTAGCTGGATGACCTGAGTTTGAGTCTCAAGACCTATATATTAGAAGGAGAAAATGGACTCCAGCAAATCAAATTGTCCTTTGATCTCCACATCCACACCGTGGCTTTGCCCCTCCCCCAGTAAAAAAAAAAAAAAAAAAAAAAAAAAGACAGCGTGTAAACACTGTGTTTCTGTCTTTTGTCTGTGGCCTCTCAGGATGGTAGACAATCACCTGAAGAAATGGCACCAGCCAGCAAATTTTGCAGTTATCTTATAATCCTACTTAGTTTTGTTTCAAATTTTTTTTTGTAAGAAAACCTAGTTCTTTCAAATTTTATTTTTAGTTTTAATCATGGTAAATGGAAAACTTAATTGTTTTGAATTAAGTCAGCCTGAGGCAGGGACGTTCAAGGCCGGCCTGGACTACACAGTGACTTCAAGGCCACCTGGGCTACAGAGCGAGCGCCTGTAAGGGACCTCTCCCGCTCAAGAGTAAGAAGGCCTGCTTGCAAGCTTCCTCTCATATCACTAGCTGCAGCCTCTGAGACAGAGCTAAGCGATGGCTGCTCCCAGGACTCAAGGATGGAGGCTAGGGCCCACCCCTCCGTCAGCCTCCTGCACTAGAGTCCCCTCCTCCTAGGCTGTAGTTAAATGCCGGCGTCCTGCACCCCCCACTAGTGTGAGGCCAGCATTTAGGCCAGCCTTGTTCAGTAGAAAGAGAAAAACAGGAGGTACTGAGCAAAGTGAATGATTTGAGAGACAGACAGACAGACAGAGAGAGAGGGAGAAAGTGCCAAGTAATCCTTGTTTGTTTCTTGAGACAGGATTTCTTGGTGTAACCTTGATTATTCTGGACTTGCTTCGTAGACCAGGCTGGTCTCAAACTCACAGTGATCTACCTGCCTCTGCCTCCCCAGTGCTGGGATCACAGACAGGCGTGTGCCACCATGCCCAGAGAGCCAAGTAATTCTAAATGTTCTAGTGATCCATGCAACTCTACAGCAGCAACGCATTAACAAGCCACATTATGGTTTTAACTCCGTATAGTCAAGATTGTATCCCATCATGCAAGCAATATATAATCTAAGTTTGTTTTGTTTTGTATTTTGAGACTGGGTTTCACTGTGTAGCCTTGGCTGTCCTGGAATTGCTCTGTAGACCAGGCTGGCCTCAAACGCACAGATTGCCTGCCTGAGGGCTGGGACCCATCGTGCCTGGCTGCAATATATAATGTAAAAACACATTATTTATTTTTTTGAGAAAGGGTTTCATGTGGCCTAAGCTGGACTTGAACTCACTCTGTAGTGGAAGATGAAGGACTTGCGCTTTTGCCTCTGCCTCCTGAGCGCTAGGATTACAGGCATGAGCTACAGCGCCTGGCTTTGTAGTTTTATGTAGTGCCGAGCAGCAAACCCTGCACTTCTTGCAAGCTAGGCCGACGCTGTGCTGATATCCTCAGTCCGCTGTTATTTTTGAGATGGGTTTCAGCTGGCTTCGAACTCCTGTGCTCCCTAGGGTTGGAAACACAAGTCTAAGCCACTGTACTCAGCTATCAGTGAGTAGTGCCAGTGTGTCCAAGTGGGATGGGCCATAAGCATGTTTATGTGTGGAGCCCACCTCTTATTTATTTAGGGTTTTTCAAGACAGGGTGTCTCTGTGTAACCTTGGCTGTCCTGGACTCTCTTTGTAGAGCAGGCTGGCCTCGAACTCACATCAATCCACCTGCCTCTGCCTCCCCAAGTGCTGGGATTACAGGTGTGTGCCACCACACTTAGCCAGATCCCACCTTTGACTAACTTCCATATCTCTCTCTCTCTCTCTCTCTCTCTCTCTCTTTCTCTCTCTCTCTCGTGGCTCGAAGTTGTCCTAGCAGACAGTATCCATTTGAGTCAATGTGTGACTCCACAAGGGAGGAGGTGGCACTTGGCTCTCGGACCTGAAGGACCTGGGCAGCTGGGAGCTGACATAGAGGAGCTGCTGTTACCTGGCTGCACATTGCCTAACCACCCGCCCCCGGCTCACCTCACTGTTGTGCTCTTTCTGCGGCAGATTGGAGAAGTGAGCTGTGAGCCAAATTACTAATGAACCAGTCAGCGTGTGGTTGCGGCCCCCATCCCGGGTACAGCGGGCTCTGCTCTCAGGGAGGCGTGCTGTGGGCACGGGCTGGGATGTAGATCAGGGGGGCTGGCAGTGGGGGTCCAAGCACTGGGCAGAAGTTGTGTTTCTTTGCTTTACAAAAATAACTAGATAACCCTCTATTTATTTGTCCCCCCCCCTTTCTCTTTCAGGGTTTCTCTGTGTAGCCCTGGTTGCCCCAGACTTGATTTGTAGACCGGGCTGGCCTCAAACTCACAGAGATCCACTTGCCTTTGCCTTCCCAAGTGCTGGGATTACAGGCGTGTGGCACTGTGTCCAGCTTCCTTATTTATCTTAAAATTTTATGTGTAAGTGTCTTCATGTATACAACATACATACAGGCCTGGTGCCCACAGAGGCCCAAAGAGCACGTTATTTCCTGGAACTAGAGTCCCAGGCCAGTCCCAAGCAGTTGTGAGCTGCCTGGTGAAGGTGCTGAGACCTAACTGGTCAGCAGCAGCGGCCGGTGCTCACAGCAGAGCCCTCTGCAGCCACGCATAGTTGCCTCCGACTGCTGCCGAGTGGAGTTAGAAGGAACAAGCAGAAAGAAAAGGAGCAGAATGTTGTAAGCGACCATGGCTTAAAACAGTCACTTTAGCTCCTGGAAGACAGGAAGTCATCATTTAAGCTTTCTGGACAGTGAACTTTTAGATCCCCCCTTCAGGAGCAAGGAGAGGCCTCTCCCTCTCTTCCCACCATCCCCCCACGGCACCCTGCCGCTCCACCCTTGAAGGGTATGATTGGCAGCAGTGTTGAGGCTGCGGGCTCCCTGCCCCTCTGATGGGCTTCTTTAGATCACTGACCCTCCTTCTTACCCCTCCCTGCATTTGTTTTACAGGTTTGAGACTTCCCAGGACCAGCCAGCTGTACACATACCAGCCTGAAGGGTGGGCAGGCCATAGGGGGTGGCGTTTCTGCTGCTGTCTGAGTCAATCGTTTGGGATCCTCCAGCTCAGGAGACAGAGCAGGGTAAACACTCAAGAAACAGACACCTACCACCTCGGCCTCTCCGGCCAGCCAAGCTCAGGCTGGTTATCATAAAGGAGTGGCCACAGCTCAGGGTCACAAAAGGTCAGGACAGGAATGTGGAGCCTCGGCTCCATGGACAAGCAGCCCCACAAAACGGAGACGGGCCAGTCAGGCTCCAACTCTTTATTACAAAATAACAGTATTGACTCCGTATACAAAAGGTACTCGAAAATCCCTGGTACCCTCATGGTGGCTGGTACCCCCGAGCCCCTCCCTCAAGAGGAAGGTCTCAGATTCGAAGGTCACCAGCCAGGAGGGCATTGTACCGGGCAGGTGTGAGGGGCAGGTAGGCACCCGAATCCTGGTCCAGAACATAGAGGGGGTCAGACAGTTGGCTGGGGTCAAAGCCCTCATTTGCCATCCTAACCTTCTGCTGTTTGAAGGTCTCCGTGGTGGCCAGAGACTCCTGGGAAGAGAAGAAGGGTGTTTCCAAAGAGAGCTGGAGGAAACAGAGTTTGCTCTCTTTGTTCAGGGGAGCTGCCCGAGCTCTGTTCAGGGCTAGATATGGAGGCAGGAGACACTGCACAGTCAAGGTGCGGTGGCCACACAGGAGAGAGAGCCAGGCCTGAAGAGGGCAGGGCTCAGCGGGCAGGGCGGCAGCCGCTGTCCTTCTGTAAAGAACTTGCCAGGCAAGCATGGAGACCTGGAGTCAGTCACCTGACCCTGGGAAAACGCTAGGTGAAGGCGGAGACACAAACCTCCCCAGGATCCGCCGGCCAGCCAACAGGAGACCCTGGCTAAAGGAGGTAGCTGGTCCCTGAGGATGACGCCCACACCCACGGGAAGGCAGGCACACCCATGCCCACACACATGGACACACCCACGGCAGGCAGGCACACACACGACCCCCCCCCCCCCACGGGCAGGCAGGCACACACACGCTGGCGCACACACAGATAAAAAGGGGGTGCAGAGCGTCTGTGTAGCGGGGAAGCCCTGCATCTTCACGGAGTGTCCTGCGTAGGGTTTTTCTGGGGTTTAAGGACCATGACTGAGGGGCTGGGCCAGAAGTAGTGGGTTACCTGGAGCCTGAGGAACCGGGGTCGGGCATAAGGTGGCAAGTTCTCAGAGACGTGGGCATAGAGCTGCGCTAGGTCCAGAGCCTGAGGAGGCCGCAGAGCCAAGGCCGCCATGCCAGCCCTGCCTTCGTGCCCTGGTGGGTGTGGGAGACACATAAGCCCTTCTGCTCCTCGTGCCCAAGCACTGCTACATGGAGTAGTGGGCTGGGGGCTCCCGCCCTCCATGCCTGGGCACCTGGCACCGTGACTCCATAGACGTTCACCTCCTGAAGGAAGTCCAGGGCCTCTAGGACCTCGGCCACCTCAGTCGTGGCCACGTTCTCCCCCTTCCACCTGTTGGCAGAGCAGGGCGAACTGGAGGCAGGCGGTGGGGAGCTTTGCTGAGGAGAGGGAGGCCGGGGGAGAGTGTTGCTGATGGAGTCTGCGAAGGAGATGGGCGTGGACAGGAAGATCACACAGGAATACCTGAAGGTGTCTCCAGTGCGATCATGGAAGTGGAGAAAGCCTTGCGAGTCACAGACCAAGAGGTCCCCAGTATTGAAGAAAAGGTCCCCGGGCCGGAAGACGTCCTTCAACAGCTTCTTCTGGGATAACTCTGGAGCCCCAGCATAGCCCAGGAAAGGGGACTGCTGGCTCACGGGCGCCACCAGGAGCCCGGGCTCACCTGGAAGAATCACCACAGTCAAGAAGGGTCCCCACTCTCACCCGAAACCTCCAGACCCCACCCCACCCCGGGCGCCAAGTCCCGCCTTATCTGCCAGCGTCACCCCCCATCCAAGTACTCACCTGGAGATGTGGCCACACAATGGCCCCGGGCATTCCGAACAGGCTCCCCCGTCATGACATCATACCGAATCAAGGAGAAGGGGAAGATGTGCTGGGAAGGGGAGAGCCGCACGGGGTCACGCGGGCCTCACGAGCCCGTCTCCCACCACCCCCTTTCCGCTCTGAAGGGTCCTCCCGCCTCTCACCTTGTAAAGCCAGGAAGCACGCCCCACGGCACCCTGCTGGCCCGTGTAGTTGAAAGTGGCCACGTTGCCCTCCGTCATTCCGTACGTCTCCAGGATCTGCAGAGGCCCAAAGCGCCGCACGAAGCGCTCCCAGGTGTCCGGGCGCAGCCCGCTGCCCACGGCCAGCCGGACCTTATGGCCGTGTTCTGCCTTGCTCTGGTGAGTGAGGGAGAGGCAGGGGCTTCAGCACCAAGGTTGCAGACCCCCGGAGCGAAGCCCCGTTCCTCGGTCTCCAGAACCTCCCCCAGCGTGTTCTCCTGATTCGGAGGTGCCGGAGCCTGCCCACTGTGGGCTCCTGGCACGATGCCGTTTCTTCTCCCGGCTCCCTCTCTCCACCGCCCGGATGACAGGCTCGTGCCTGCTGCTGTCTGGCCTGCTCTGTAGGCCTACTCACCGGCGGCTGGTTGACGAGGTACCGGCACAGCTCCCCGATGTACTGGAACACTGTCACCCTGTGCTTCTGGCAGTCCTCCCAGAACTGGCTGGCTGAGAACTTGGGCTTCAGCACCACCGTGGCCCCTGCCGGAAAGCGGAGAGAAGGTAGCGCGGAGAGCAGAGGACCTGCTGGAGTCACGCCTTTAGCAGGCTGTGCTGGCAGAGCTCTTCCCTAGCTACGTGTGTGGAGGCTAACATCTCTTTTCGGGTTGACACACCCCTCTCTCTCGTTCTCCCTGAAGTCTAGAGAGTGAACCGTGCAGCCCCTGGCTCTGAGTGTGCCAGGTTTCATACTAGACAGCAGGGGCCGCCTCCCTCCACCGAGAACTCAGGACGCCTCCCAAGCAGGGCTGGCATTAAACGTTCTTCAGCGCTCCATAGAGCACTGGTTCTCAACCTGTGGGTTGCAGTTAGGAAACAGCAACAAAATAATTTCATGGCAACCCAAGGAGCCGTGTTGAAGGGCCCCAGCTTCAGGAAGGCTGAGAACCGCTGGGAGGGAGACTGACCAATGCCCAAGCAGCCCACAATGCCCAGCAGGGAGCCAGACATGTGGTACAGCGGGAGTGCGAGGTAGATGACGTCGTCCTGGTGGACTCCGCACAGCTGGTAGAACCCCTGGCACTGCAGGACCTTCAGATGACTGACGCGAGCAGCCTTGGGCAGGCCTGAGGGGGGCAAGAGCAGTCAGGGGAAGGGTGTGAGCGCGGGGCCCTGGAAAAGCCGGTAGTGTGGGCAGGGGGAGGTGAGAAGCTGTATCTGGGGTGGCGTGGGAGGTGACCTGGGGGTAAGAGGCTCCAGTCCTCTCCCCAGACCTTGCCTCCTCCGCCTCAGGCTCTGAGAGGGAAGCACTGTGTCCAGTCCTCACCAGTAGTCCCAGAGGTGAAGATGTACAAGCAGGTGTCCATTATGCTCTGGGGAGCAGAGAGGTACCCCGGCACCGGCTCGTCCACTTGGGCTGCTGCCTCAGACTGCAAATTGCGGATTCCAGCAAGATGAGTTTCAGGGCCCACGGCCCACAGGTGGAGCCCCATGGCTCTCAAGGCTGGCAGGTCGGGCTCCAGGGACTCCAGGAACTCTACAAGGGCGGGCCAGGTCAGCGTCGAGGCTCTCCAGCTACTTTAAAGCCTTCATCACCGGCTGGTCTGCTCTCTGTCCCTGCGCAATGCTCTAGGGTGAGGGCGACACGGCGGGGATCCCATGTCTCTCCTGGGACCCGTACGGACCCGGACGGCTTGGGAACCCTTTGGTTCAGCACACACACACACCCCCCCCCAAACCCAGGGCCCACTCACTGGCGCACCTCGGTCTGGGGACCCGCCACGCCCTCCCTGGCTTCCGCTGCCTTACCTGTGGCCAGCACCAGCGCGCTGGCGCCGCAGCTGCGGAGGCAGTGCAGCAGGGGCCCTCGGCGCAGGGCGGTGGGCACGAAGGCCGGGAGCAGACCCGCTTTGGCCAGTCCGAACCAAAGCCATAGGAATTCAGGGCCCGCCGGGAGGAGCAGCGCCACCGTCGCCCGCGGTGCCAGAGGGGGCGCGGCCGCCCCGCCGGCCGCAGGCGCCGCGCGCGCCCCTTCCTCGGTGCTGCCCCTGCCCGAGCCTCGCCGGCCCCCGGCCCAGCCCCGCGCGCGCAGGAAGGCGCGAGCAACCCTGTTGCTCTCGCGCTCCGCCTGCTCGTAGCTGAAGCGCTGAGCGCGGTAGACGAGGAAGGTGTGTGCCGGCCTCTCCCGGGCCAGGTGTGTAAGGCGCCAGGCCAGGCTGCACCCGCCGTCGGGGCTCTCCGGGTCAGCGGCCTCTGCGGCGAGCGCGCGGCGGCGGAGGGCCCTTTTGCAGCGGAGCGCGCGAACTGTGAAGGCCAGGTCGGCTGGCAGCCAGCGGAGCTGAGGCCAGAGGCTCGGCTTCCGGAGCAGAGGCAGCAGCAAGAGTAGGGGCAGCAGCAGCAGCAGCAGGAGGAGGGCCGCCATGGTGCCCTCTTCCTCCGGTCGCTGTCGGCAACTCGCAGGCACTCCAGGTGGTCCCTCCTGAAACACTGAGCCCGCCTCGGGCCAGCTCCAAGAACCCTTCTTCCCCGGACGTGGCGCGCGTGCGCCGGCCCCCGCCCTCCCCACCCTGTTCGGTGGTATGGCGCGGGAGCCAGGAGTGGGAGTGGGGGTCGGCCTGGCCCTCCCCAGAGCACAGGCTCCGCCCTAGGCGCGCTCGCTGTGGAATTCGAGTGCTGGCGGCCGCTCCGATCTCAAGAGGTGCCTCCCCTCAACCCTTGTGCGTTTTCAGGACCGTCTAAGCCATCGGCTGCTTTATGGAGCCCGGCTCCAGGAGAAAGGGCGCGTCTGTCATTCTTTCCTTTGGTGGTTCTTTGTCACCCGTGATGGGACGGCACCATCGCGCTCTTCCCAAGGAGACCCTGGCCCGATTGGTTCTGCAAGTCTGGGCAGGACAGCCAGATCCATGCGCTGCTTCCAGCTACCAGCAGCAGCAACAACCCCCGGGGAATAGGTGGGGGCCTCAGAGCTAAGTAGGGGAAAGGTGGAGGCCAGACTCCCAGTGTTTTGGAGGGAGGCCCTTCGTTTTAGGCAAGGATACAATAATTGGGACCAGTCAGCAAATGCTTCCTATCCTGGTTTTAATCGGGGCGGTAGAAAAGGGATGGGAAGAGGTTTAAAAAAAAGACCTCTGGTGGTTTAGTTTCAAAAGCAGTGGCTTTAAAGGAGCATGGGTTCTGTGAAGAGGCAATGTCCAGCTGAGTCCGTGGGCCTGCCCACACTAAACCTCACCTTCACCTCTGCTCAGCAAGGACTGCAGAGGGGGGCTCCTGTCTTTGAACTTCCATCCTCTCATGAAAACTCAGCGTAGGGCACGCTTCCCGGCCAAACCCTTGGACAGTGTGCACTTGACAAAGTGGAGGACAAATACCAGCCTTTGTGTGTGGACTGTGCCCATTTGCATTTGAGTGCACATGTACGTATATTCATGGGCGTGAAGGTGGAAGTCAGGAATTTCCTGCGTCACTCTCCATCTCCCTCCATAAAGGACTCTCAGCTGAACCCTAAGCTCGTCAATTAGTGTAGAGCCAGCCTCCAGGGATCCTGTCTCTGCCTTCCAGCTCTGGGATCACCGACCGGCAGCACACCCCCCTAGGATTTATATTGGGGGGGGGAAGGGCTGCTTATGTGGCAAGTGCTTTATCTGCTAAGCCCCTGCTTGCCACCCCTCCCCCTACCAGCCCCTAGAGGTTCCTGAGAAGCATTGGGCAAGGCCAGCCCCCTAAGTGGAAAGGAGATGCCTGACTCACACTTCTAGTGAGTTAGGGTATGGGGGAGCAAAGCCAAGTCCCTCCTGCACATTGTGTTGGGGGAGGGAAGTACCAGTAGTGGCATCAAATTAAACAGTGGCACCTATACACAGGATGAACAGAGGTCAATTCAGGCACAAAAGATGTTCTGGCTTGTTTCATTATCACTTAAAAACAATTTTAAAACTCGATTATCTTTGCCAAAAGAAAAAGCAAAAACAGAACCACAGAAGTCAGGCCATTTGACAGTTCTGAGGAGCTTGCCTCTGGGGCTCCCTGGGCTCTGGCTCAGCTTGAGGTGCCAACCCAAGCATCCCAGGTGCAGCAATGGGCTCTCATGCTGTCATCAGGTTCTTTTCTGAAGGCCATGGCATCTGCCCAGATGGGCACTGCCCACACCAGGTCAGATGCCCATTTCACACTGGTGCATTGACCACCGTCCGTAGACTACAAACGTCTGTTCAGAAAATGCAGCCTGAAGGGCAGCAGGAAGGGACACCTGCCGCAGCATCTGTCACCCCAGCTTCTCTGCCCAGCAGCCTCCTGATCGCTCCCAGCTCTGTCCAATGGCTCTTTGGAGACTTGGGGAAGAGCCAGGGCTAAGGACTTCCACCATGATCGCATTTGCACAGCCTCTGGCTGCGTGAGAACCTAGCAGTGGGAGCAGCAGTGGAGAGGGGAGAAGAGGGGCGGGCCGCATGGAAGTTTCTCAGGCTGGGGCAGGGTGGGCAGCCAGGCCTCAGTCACTATCCGAACCCACAGCAGAGGACCCTTTTCGTTTTCGTTTGGTGGGCTTAGGCTTTGTATCTTCTTCCTCCTGGAAGAAATGAGGGGGGCAGAGGGCTGTCACTAGCTGGCACCCGTGCCCACTACTCCCTCCCTTTTCTGTACTGGCTCTGGGGCTCACCGAGGCACTGCTGGAGCCAGACTCTTCCTCAGCATTGGGGGGCTGGGTAGCATTCTTCCTACTCCGAGGGCTGGACAAAGCTGCCTTCCGCCGGCTCTTGGGTGGCTTAGTGGAAGAGTCCTCATACTCCTCCGCCAGGGAGAAGAGGTCGCTGAACCTAGGATGAAGAAACAGGCTCCCTGAGATGGCCTCCTGCCCAGGCCCCTCCCACCCTGGTCTCTGTTTTTCAACTCCAGGGTCTCATTGGCCATTATGTTCCCAGCAGACTTCTTCCCACTATTTCCCAAGGCCCAACGTAGAAGGAACCTCACTTCATCTTGTGAGCTTCGTCGCAGCTTGCCTGGACATGCTGCAGCGCCTGGAGGATTGGCGTCTGGCTAAAAACTACAGAGGGGAAGCAGAGTGTCAGGAAGCTTTCTAGCCAGCACTGAAAGTCATTTATTCTATGGGTTTGAGCAGTGGTCCTGGTAGCTCATCCCTGCCCCTAACTGGCTGTAGGGGATTTGAATCCAGGGCAGCACCTCCCCCAAATGGCCCAAGGAAGGGAGCAGGAAGACAGGCAGCATACAGTTCTGCTTGGTGTTGGCTAGGTTGAGCCTCAGGTTGTCCAAGTGCTCCAGGATCTGCTCCAGGGTCAGCTGGGCCAGCTTGCTGCTGGAGCTCCTCAGGCTGCATGGGGAGGCAGAGTCAAATACTGGCCACCCAACCAGGGTCCCTCCTCAGGTCAGAGACCGTCCTAAAGGACCCAGGGCTGGGGACAATCCAGGGGTGTTCACCCACACACCAATCTGAGACAGCACCAGAACCCAGCATCCCTGGGCAGCAGACTGCCCTGGGGCAGAGACGGAGCCCCACCTCTGCCTCTTGCGGGGAAGGCTGTTGTTCTTGATGAGCAGGGCCTTGATGTGCTCCGCCAGCAGCTCGTCGTGCTTCATGCACCAGTGCCTCAGGATGCTGGTGGTGAACTGATCGTCAGGATGGCAGGGCCTGCTCAGCACCATCTTCACCATCTCCTCACTGGGCCTATGGGTGAGCATGCTGGGTGCCGCTTACTGACTTCCCAAACCCCAGCCTCCTTGCCCCTGGGGCTCCCTACTCTCACATCCCTCTCCCCCTTCTCTCTGGGCCAAGAAATGACTCGTTTTATTCTCTGAAGAAGCCAGACGAGAAGTGAGATTCTCCCACTTCTGTGGTGGTATGAGGTGTGCTACAGTCCCCATAAGCCTCCCCTAGGACATGGAGCCGTTTCTAGGTTCTCAGGAAAGACAGAACACAGAAGGCAGAAGATTGCAATCCCAGCACTTGGGAGGCAGAGGCAGAAGAATCAATAGCTGAGTGATCGCTAGCTATAATACATGGGCTATTTGAGACCCTGTCTCAAAAACAAATCAAAACTAAAACAGAAAAAAGAAAAGAAGTAGGAAAAGACACTTAGACACTTGGCTGTTGCCTCATTTGTCCAGGGAGTCTGCCAATGCCACATGTAACATGGAGGAGGCCTTCCGCCCTCTCTCCCACCGCACCTTAGGCAGGCAGTGCAATGGGCCCAGCTACCTCTTCTGTCAGGGTGATGAAGGAGGGTGTGGCCCCTTGCCCTTTCAGCCTATGGCAGGCTGAGGAGTGTGGAGAGTAAGGGAAGCAGAGCTGCCCTGTCCCCACCTTCCACCCCTGAAGGCAGGGAGAGGCAGACTGCCAAGGGAGGAAAGCATGGCCAAAGGAGCAAGGCCCTGTGCCTCTCCATGTCATGGAACTCACTTCTCTCTTCGGAGCTGAAGCAGGAGACAGGACAGGGCCTCTGGGTGCTCTGTGGGGGAAGAGTTGTTCAGGCAAATGATCATTTTAGGAGGAAATGTGGGTACCTCTTCCAACCCCAGCCGACAGAACAGTTTTGAATCTACTGCTTCACTGCGTCTGCAGCTGCTGAGGCCTGGTGCCCTGTTTACACAGTGGCTTGCGGGGCTGTCTCCAGAGCTCAAGTCCATCTTGGTGGTGAGGACTAGAACTCTGGGTCACCTCAGAAGCCTGGAGGCCTCACCTTCTCCCAGCCCACAACCCACAGCTCACAGCCCTACTCACCCTTGTATTTGAGGTGCTGCAGAATAGGAATAATGGTCTCCAAGGGGATGTTATGGGCCAGGAAGAGCTGCCAGGCACAGTACTGCTCAAAGGTTTCCCAGTCCAGGCTCTGAACTGGAAGAGACAGAAGAAACCTCTCTGCCTGCCTGCCTGCCTGATCTGCTGTCTAACAAACACACACATAATCCACTGACTAGTAGCACCCTAAGCAAGTGGAACTTAATCTAGATCCTTTCTCTCCCCAGTCAGCACAGATTGCTAACATCTTTGGAGGACTACCAGGTTCCCGGCAAGCCAAGGGATGGAGAGATGAAGGTAAGAAGCAAGACAGAGACGAGGTAGCAATCCCAATTTCCAATCCTTCCTTCCCCACTTTCCAGTCACCGTTTTTTTTTTTTTTTTTTTTTTTAAAGATTTTATGTATTTATTTTATGTACATGAGTTTTCTATCTGTATGTACACCTGCAGGCTAGGAGAGGGCACCAGATCTCACTATAGATGGTTGTGAGCCACCATGTGCTTGCTGGGAATTGAACTTAAGTCTTAACCTGAGCCACCTCTCTAGTCCTCCAGTCACTGTTGGATGCACAGTTGGTTCCCCTTCCTCTCTGAGGTACCGGGAAGACCTAGTTACTTACTGAGTATGTTGAGGACTGAGTCCTTCCGAAACATGACCAGGTTCCCCATCATCACATGGCAGACCAGCTCCTGGAGCTATAGAGATGAAAACATCAGACCCATTAGCTCTGAGAGAGGCAGAGGGCCAGGAGGGTAGGGCATGACTCAAGACTCTTAAGAGTGAAGGGTCAGGGGCAACAGC